TGGAACATGTTTCTATTTCCATGATTACTTCCATTATAAGACACATGAATTACTGTCTTTCCAAAGATAAGCCAGACTGAATTCAGAGTGCGTGCTTGTGCGGGTATGTGCTTGTTTATGTCTGTGTTTGGATTATCACCTTGGCTGAGTCGGAGAGTGATGGGGTCCGGATGGCGCCTTGGAAACTCAGTGGTCACGTCCTTGATCTCTCTTCACCTCCAGCCACCCTTCTCATGCTGCAGTCTGAGTATGTGGCTGGAAGACTGCTGGGTATTGACAGCATTTGATTTGCGTGTGTGCGCTGGAAAGAGAAAGAGAGGGTGTTGAGCCACTGTCTGAGTGTGAGGCAGACATGGATCAATGAAGTGTCTGGACAGAGTTACATGCTGGTGGTCACTCCTGCCGACATCCATCAGAAGGCTATAGAGAGAGCCTACAGAAACAGTGTGACTGATGGCATGCATTGGCCTGGCTTTTTGACCTCAGCTCACAGATACAGGGAGACACAAGTCTCCTCTATTTACTGAGCATACCAGCACCTATGATTTACAGCCACAGAGATGCTATTCACCTGTGAATGCTGAGAAAAGATTAGACCTAGGCACCTCTTGAGAAGCATGCACTGCATGAAGAGTAGAACATTTTGGTAGTTATCCCTCAGGTTGTTGGTCACTTCAGTTGAAGCGCACACCATGTAAAACCCTTTGTGGAAGAGGAGTCCTGTCTGTGGCCTGGAATTCACATAGACAATGAAGGATCCCAACTTCACTTTCACCTCATCAATATGTGAAGCACTGGCCGGTCTAAGTAGCCAGGTAGAGCCGAGCTTCAGTCTTCTATGATCAGCATGTAATTTAAAAAAATGTGATTGAAGGCTACGTTTATGTATAAGGGTTTCCATGTTGTGCTTCATCATCCAAGATGGTCAAGATTATGCAGCAGGCCAAAGACGAGTTGAATCAAGTCTCAGCTGTCATGAAGATTGTAGTTTCATTGTAGAATTAAATTGGCTGCATACAACACATGAATCAAAAAAGCAGTAATTCTTGTCAGTCTGTGCAATTATGACGTTTGTTAAAAGAGCACAACTAAAACACACTATTTTTACTCAGCTTCCATTGCAGCATCACCAAATGCTCAAGTGAAATAGACCAAGAAAAGCCACTGTATTGGGAATTGTTTACAATTTGGAGAAAATGAAGGGTGATTATCAAAAACAAATGACTTTTTCTTAATCTCTGTCATCCATCGGCTGCAGCTGAGTGTTCTCCAGTGTTGTCTTAATCATTGGTGGAAGAGGGTCCAATCACCTACCAGCAAAATTCTTTAACACATAACCCTAATTTGCTTCTCTGTCTCTTTCCTCTTCCCTGAAAATTTTCATCAAAAGTGAGTAGATGTTCAGATTTGGAGGGCAGCATCCATGTATGCACATGCATCTTGATGATTTTGAATGTAGCATCAGCAGATTGTGAGTGCTTTCCTCTCTAAATATAAAGAATAAGGTGTTCATAGCTTGCAAGAGGAAACAAGTAGCAAATAACTCCACTGAATCTTCATGCAGGCGAAGTGGTATAGTAGAGAGAAGCTCTTGGCTTCTTCAGAAGTTTTAATACACTCCACCCGGCTCCCTGGTGTTCCCTCATTGAACAGGCAGCGCCTCTGAAGCACTCTACATTAGTTATGTCCAGCCTCACATTGGCTTCATGCATTCTTAGGAGCGGAGCAGTGCTGAGATTACATTATTCCTCTCTGCCAACCCCCCACTGCTCTATTATAGTATCATTGAAGTCGGAATGTGGGCTCTGGTGCTCCCTCGCTTGAAACGCCTGGAAGTCTGCACTTTTAGGCAGAAATAAGGACACATCACTAAGCTCTTCATGGCATTGAAAGGGGCTCACAGGAAAATAGTCAGCTTTTTTTGTAACAGAAGTAAGTACATTAAGTGTAATAAAAATATGTAGATCCTGGTGTCTGACTGTGCTGAACAGCTTGATATCCCTGAACCTATTTCTGATGGAACCTGAGTTGTGTGGGCAGTCATTTGCCTTTGAACCTTTTCATGTCAGTGCTGTGGTTGGAAACGCTTTACAGAGCTTGCTTGCACTGGAAGATGTGAGTTTCAGTGCTACTGTGTGGCACAGAGGCAATTCATGCAGCTTTGAGATGAGCAGAGCATAAGCAGAGTATGGGATTTGGAAAGGAAAGGGTGGTGAACCACTGTGAACCACTATAAACCACTACTTGAAGGACTAGGACACAACAAAAGCAGAGGCTTCAGTGGCAGGTACAGGCTAATCGACTCAATGTTAGTGTCTGTGACAGAGGGCTCAGTAACAGCTATGGTATAATATGAAGGTGCCTTCAACTTTGACAGTTGTGGGTTTTCCATCCACTGCTTTTTAGCGAATTTTGAAAACGTGCATAAAAACTGGAAGGAAAAAGCAGAAATAAAAAAGACGAAAGATTATCAAAAGTTTCTACACTTGGAGAAGGTGGAAAAGTTAAATTGTCAATAACAGAGAAGTGCTGGAAATGGATGGGTTATTTGGGTGGATTATTTGAGTAAGTGATGACGTACTGGGAACTAAAGTCACATGTTTGTCACTATGTCCTATCAGAACTGTTTGCTGCTGTGACATTTCCAGTAGTTCAAACAGCAAAGTGGGACAGCGCCTTCAGCCCTCATTAAAACAGGCTACAACTATGTAGAGCTGACAGAAGGCTGTCAAAACGTTCTACTAAGAGCTAATAAAGGTTCATATCTTTCCTTCCATATATTCCATGCACAGGTGTGTTACATCAGCTTCAGAAATTTGCACAAAACTGTAATTGATGGAAACACTGGTTAATTCGCATTTACTTAAAATTTGCAAAACTTTTGAATAGAAACCCAGCTAATGTCTCTAAGCAGGATGTGAGGTTTTTAGCTGTGACTTGATATGTAATTTTACTCAGGCATAATGAGAGCCAGTCTTTAGTTTTGAATGAGCTCTGTCCTGGAATTACCAACAAGAGTATAATATCTGTAAGGTAGTGTACCCACATAGAATTGGTCTCTCCTCACCTTAAAGGCTTCAAGAGAGAGATATTCCAATCCTCCTGAATATGTAGAGAGATCTCCCATAAATATGTTGAGAGAAGAGACTGTCTGAGTCCTGACCTTCAGCTGTTTGATTTACTTACTTCCCTTCTCGTGTTTGTGTTTTTTTGTTCAGACTAATAATGATTTAGTCTTTTCTTTTGTATTAAGAGTGAATTGTTATTTGCTTAATTGCCATGATCTCACCTCGACTTCAGAAAACTTTATTCTTTGCATTTTGATCCCTCTGTTTGTCCAGAAGTGACTCTTCTGGCACTTCCCCTTCCAAATCCGATCCTGCTGGCATAGCTGTGTCAGCAGTGCCCTTTATCCCTCCTGCTTTTGAGACCTGCAGAACCAGTAGCAGAGTGCTCCCCTTTGATATAACTGATCAAGACAAGTGTTCCTCCATACAGACAGCCTCCTCCTGCTCTGCAGACTGGGAGGGGGCAAGCTTACCCAGCTCACTCAGAGAGCTAGCAACCTTCTCAGCCATATCAATTCCACCAGCCCCTCGTGGGCCTGCCGAGATAGAGGGCCATGAAAGACATCAGTGAAGAAAGAACAGCTACGGGTGAGAGAGAAGGGAGGAGAGGAGTCAAGGAAAGAAATGAGACGAAAGAGATGCTCTCGAGAGTAGAACAAGACAGATCTTGGGAGTCCATCAGAGATGGAGTTAGATAATGGAGGCCTGGCTGGCTCTAGTGTACCCTGCTCGCCTCTTAGATAATGTATCTTCGGGCTGTGTAAGAGCACCATTTAGATGTGTAAAGGTTGGTTAAACTGATCCATGCTATCCGCTTGTAATTGGATTTAACGACTGCAGGCCTCTCAAGGTGATGGCTTATGAACACCTAGCTTTTTCTCCATTTTCTCCATTTTCCCTGGACGGTAGGATGGTACTGCTGACTCCCCAATTTCTTCAAGACGCAGAACGCTAATGCAAATGCAGATAAACTGCTGATATCAGAAGAGCAATCTCGTGATGCGTATCTTTACCACCACCTGCTGCAAATTACAATTACTGCTATAGTGGACCTGAAATATTGAACTCATAAAATGGTTATTCAGATTGATCCTCCATCTTTAATAGCAAGAACACCCCCCCCACAACGCACTCCATAAATGAACTTATTATTGGGTCGGCTGTCATGGCCGTCCTGCTGGGAGACATCTCTCTATTACACTGTCCTTTATAAATGAGACTTTAATGGGCTAACACATTACAGGAGACTGGAGTCCCAATTGCAGCCATTTTACCCAGTGAGTTCTGGCCACAGAAGCTAGCACTCAATCTCTGGCTGTTTCACACTGTAAATGCCCTGGATCATTTCTGTCAGTAAGATGATGATGGATCATACCTAATCTCTACTGCACTCTCTAGCTCTGGACAGTCGGACAGATCTGTTGGATGAGTTGGAGATGAGGAAAGTGACGTGTATGTGTTGTTTAGTGTTGGGCAGGATGATTTGGATGAAGGTATATGGCAGTTTTACTCACTGAAATCCAAACTCTTATTATTTGTCTTTCAAGAGAGGAAGCAAGGTCGAGACAGAGCTTGAATAAACCTGAATTTCGAGCTTCTCTTGATAATAGTGTGTCAGTATTGACATTTCCCTTTACTATTAGATCATGTGACTAAAATCATCTACAGTGTTGAATAGCTTTTGTAAATGTTGTAATGCACCATAAATGGAAAGTTCAAACCATAGCTGAGTATTCAACTGCATGTTTGTCCTGTGCCTTGACTGTCATTCTAACCAATCATTTATGTTGTGTGTGCCATTCAGAGCTAGCTGCGAGGGTCAAATAAAAAACTTAAAAGGGAGAAAGGCCTTGTAATATCTCTTATGTTCAAAAACTCAAGGGAACGCTGTGACTTAAATGAATCTGCTTTTTATGTTTCTTCTTTTCACAGAAATTGAAAGAGTCATGTCAGAATGGCTTCCATGCCCCCTTGGCTTCCACAGCGCTGATTGGTCCGTCATGGAGACTGGATGGTGAAGGACTCAAGCTACTTTCAGTGGGTCTTGCTCTGCTGGCTATTGTAGTGTTCTTTGTTTTTGAGAAACTTCACTAACAAAGAATTTTAAATTGGAAGGAGCTACCAACTGTGGAGTTAAAGTCAAACCGAGGCACGCTAGTTTCTGAGCATTGGAGTTTATCTGAATGACTGAGGACACTATGGAATGTGCTATTTATTTTAAATTCATGCTTTTACAGTGAAAGGTGTTTAATACATTTTGAGAGAGAGGTTTATAAGATAATCAGTGTTTTTCTGTTAAAGGTGCACATTATGTTTTAGATATAACTCGTAAAATAGGGTTTTAGTTGGTTTAGCTGGTTTTTTATTTCAATTTTTCGGTCTGTCTCATTGTTGGCAGGCGGGCACAAAGCAACCTGTTTTTTTTCCCCCTGATCTTTGTCCGTAACATAAATCTACCCTATTAAATGAGACTCCACACACTCCTAACTGTCTCCTTGGTAGTGTTTCTGGAATGTTCTTCTCACAGGGCTTTCAGCAGTGGGAGATTGACTTGTTGATTCTGTCTCCCCCCTGAAGCCACAGCATGTGTTTTTGCTATAAAATGTCCACTCTGTGAATAACACAGGTGTAAAGTAGTGCAGTTCTTCCTGCACCACAGTGTATGCTGCCATGTGCTTATAGTTTAGCAAGAACTAATTTATTGGATTTATGAAGTAATGGTGTGCAAGTGTTAATTTAAGGTTGTCAAAAGATTTTTGAACATTATTGTACAGTACCCACGCTTGCTTGTGTAGAGAGCAAGAGTAGCGTTGGTTACTCTGTAGACACATGCATACACGCATACACGTGTCACAATGCAAAAGCACAGGCATGTATTGATGTGATCAGTGGTTAACACCACCAAATTATTAACACCACTACTTTTTTTTTTTCAACACTGTCAATGCAGTTTACTAATTTGACCCTTCAAACTGTCCAATGGTAGTGCAGACTGAAGCCCAGCTGTTTGCATGCTTCATGGGAAACCTGTGGATAAATCAATGAGCAGCAAACTAACAAAAGCAATAGCAAAGTGGAAAACTGTAGTTCCCTTCAAGAGCCTTCAAGACTTTAATCTTTTGCTTTGAATGACTTTACCTTAAATATATTTATTCCATTGGAATAAATAATTGAACATACCATTTTGTCACTACCTAAACAGTCATAACACTACTGAAACTTAGTAAACTTAGTCAGTAAAGACTGTTTTGGTAGTGACAATTTTACCTAATTTGACACATAACTCAAAAATGCTAGCCAGTACCTCACAGCTTTGCAGTTTTACACACATGTAATCAAATATTTTCTATTAAAACACAAAATATTTCCTTAATTGCAGAAACTGTGTTTCAGTAGTGCCACTTCTTAATGTTATACACTGATTTTTGGGATTTTGGGACACTTTACTTCAAAACAGTGAGATCTAACTGCTCGCTATGTGGCAATGGGGGAAAGGGATGCCGTCTCTAAAATACAGGGATGTGGCTAAAATAAGGCTCCAACTATGGACTCTTTGTTTCAGCAGTGACATGAAAATGTAAGATAGTATTTTTTTTTAATACCTATAAACTACTGATAAATAATTCAGCATCACTTTAAAAGAAATCAAAAATATCTTTAAAGAAATTGAAAATCAAAAGTATTATTTTCACAAGTTAAAATTTAGGGGTTAGGGTTTGAGACCGCCACCTCCCAATAGAAAGCACTCTATAAATGATGATTTAGCTTATTATAATCTTTATGAATCCCTTGGGTTTAAATAGATTATAACATAATCCTTGTAAATATCTAAGGTTTGAATCCTTTATTGTTTTTTACTGTGGGACCACAGTTGGAACTAATTCAGTAAAATTGTCCAAAGCACTGCTGTGTCTGATCCACTCAGACCAGCGCAACACACACTAACACACCACCACCACATCAGTGTTACTGCAGTGCTGAGAATGATCCACCACCCAAATAGTACCTGCTCTGTGAGGGTCCATGGGGGTCCTGACCACTGAAGAACAGGTTAAAAGGGGGCTAACAAAGTATACAGAGAAACAGATGGACTACAGTCTGTAATTGTAGAACTACAAAGTGCATCTGTATAGTAAGTGGAGCTGATAAAATGGACAATGAGCATAGAAACAAGGAGGTGGTCATAATGTTATGCCTGATCAGTGTATATATACTATCTGTATTCTTTTCATCAGGTCCACTTACTGTTAAATTGGTTTGATCTGAAGCACAGAGCAGGGATCATTTGGAGGTGGGTCGTTCTCACACTGAGCAACACTGACATGTAAATGTGTTACTGGAGTTTTTAAACAACTCTGTGTCACTGCTGGACCACCTAAAAATATCCAGCCATCAGCATTGTGTGGTCAGAGGCTGACCACTGATGAAGGACTACAAGATGACCAACACAAACTGTGCAGCAACAGATGAGCTATCGTCTCTAACTTTTACATCTACAACATGGACCCACATTGTAGGTGGTCTATTAGAGTGAACAATAAGTGTACACAGTGTTTAGAAACACTGCTGATCCACTGGCACCGGTGTAACACATGGTGGTCCTGACCATTGATGAACAGAGTAATGAAACGCTAACAAACTGAAACAGATGGACTACAGTCTGTACTATAAAATGTACAGTTTCTTTATAGTTATGTTACATTGAGGTTGGAAATAAATGGATTAAGTATGGACTATATAGCTCTGATATCCAAGTATTTCAGATGCCTAGAAAATGGCTAGCAGCTGGTCATATCCACAACTCCTGTCATTACAGTACTTGCAGCAGTTATGCCTAATCCCCAAAACCAGTGTGTGCGCACCAGATGCATTCCTTTCATTGATGGGCTTCAGTTTGACATGCCTTACCCCATGGCCCAAGACACCATACCCAGCACTGGCTTTGTCTCTATAAGACAGAGGCGTTTGAGGCATCTATGGAGGATCCCAGGGTTCCATGCTGTCTGACTTTACTCAAAGAGATGATGGGACCCGTGAGAGTATCACTGAGCACGGGACCTCCCCTCTGTTGTAGCCTCAGTGGCCCTGACCCCCATCCGCAAGGGGTCTGGCACAAGATAGGAGTGAGCCACAGGCAGGCCCTCGTGGGAGCCATCACTCCTAAGAGACTGTTAAAGGACCAGAAGAGAAGATTTCATAAAGAAAGAGAGAGAGCACATGCTTCACAAGTTAGCTGTACGTGTCTGATTCCAAATCAAGGTTTTTATTATTATTTTTTTTTAACCACAATATTGAAAAATACGTAGGGGAAACGCATGGGGCGGAGGGAGCCCTCCTTAAGTACAGTGCCCATTTACTGTAAAATTAAACCGTATTTTTACAGTTTTTAATGTACAAATTCAGCATATACATGGTGATGACGCATGAACCAACTCACAGTTAGTGAAAATCAATTGGAACGGCAGCCAATTTAGTGTTATTAGTCTCAACACTAAATATAATTAAGGGCTTTGAGCAATTTATGTCTTAATGATTTCACTTCATTGTAATAAGCTATGAGAAAAGGATAAATCAGTAAATAGAACATCTTTGTAAATTAGGAAGTTGCAGTTTTGCTTTAGCTAAATAATTTGTATGTAATTTGTAATGTAATATAAATTCATTAAACAATTACAGTAACAGCAATAACAATAATGACAAACAAAGCAATAACAAGACCATATTTAATTGATTAAAGCATCTGACTGAAAAGAGCAATTGATTATCACAAGATATAACAAATTCAGTGTGGATATAACTCACATAATCTCATCAACAAGACAGCGTAAAAAGTCTTTACTAATTTTAGCCAAACTCCTAAGCAATGCTAATGATCACGCTGGTTAGCACATAATGCTAATTGTAGCAAGCCAATGAAAATACTTTAAACAACTTTGTATGTTTATGCAGAAAATCTATATAATATTATACTTGGGGTCAAAATGCTAAATCTTCTTGTACATTCATTATAAAAGAAAAAAATGCTCTCAAAAAATTACTCCCTTCATACCTCCATTATATGTTTAAAGGAAATTCTTGTACAGCTTTATATAATGTATTGTGTAACGTGATTTGAATGCATATTATTTGTATTGTACATTATTTCGAATAAATACATTATGCTCTTACTGACAGATCGCAGTCATTGGCCAGCCTTCACTGGCTCTTGCCTTCATTTCATCATTACCATGCTTGCTTACTTTTGAATGACAGTGTGTTGCTTTTGAGACCTCCAGGCACATTATCAATTAATTTTAAACAAACATTTTTCCCCCACTGTCTGCATGTGACAGCTTCTGCGCCTTTCCAGGGGTCCACCGTCTCCTCCTGTGCAGGGAGATTGCCTTTAATTGGCAGCTTTGCCAGCGTCTCTCATCCAAAAGCCAGAGAGGAAGCAGAGAGCTCTGATTGACAGGTCAATGTCGACGTGTGAGTGAATATAAAAACGCCATTTGTTCTCGGTAAACACAGCCAAAGGGGAATTGTTCTGCGGCAGGGGTGGCAGCAGTGGGACTGGGAGGATGATTCTGCCGTTTATTGCTGCTCGGAAGATGTGTATGCATATGCATAAAGCATGAGGCCAACTTCTGTAAAGGAGGCAACGATCTCTCAGTGACCTGCGCTCCGACATGCGAGCGCTGCTGGCTCGCCTGGCTTATTGGAGGTGCTGAAAGTTCACTCCTGCAAATAGCATTGTGTGGAGAGCTTCTGTCAGCTCTGCCTGAGGCATATGAGGCTCATAAACAGAGCCTGCTTCTCAGCACTGTTTTATGTATGCGCACGTTATATCTCCTTTTGCACTCCCTGGCACTTTATTACGTTTACTTAATCGGCCGAAGGCTTCTGTGCAGAAGAGAAGGGCTGCGTCATCCCTGCAAAATCACTTTGGGTCAGCATGCTGTACGGATTGGTAATGGACAATCTCAAGTCTCATGGGGCAGGCTCACACTTTCCTTTCATGCAAAATTGACTTGGGGCCTTGAGTGTTCTCCGCTGCCTGAATCTGCTCTCTGTTGGAGCCACAATGCCCTCACTGTGTGCATCAATAACATGGAGTGAACTAAACTGATTTCCATGCAGCAGAAATGTCATTTGTTAGAATGAAAGGAGCTCTCTTCAAAACCAAAAGCACAGAGACGAAACGAAGAGGAATGGGCTGAAACAGAAGCCTTGATGCAATTCCCTCACTGGACGTTTTATACATCGCATGTGAAATCGCATTACGCGTCTTCTAGCATAAATTCTTGCAGAATTTCTCTCCTTTCCCTCTGTTGGAAGCTGCTCGTTCCTCGCCTATTTGTTTATTCAACACCGTGGTCGCAGAACCTGTAGGGAACTGACTTGGCAGGGGTATTCATAAACTACTGTCTGCATTGCATTCTGCAGACAGTCTCTCAGCTGGGTGGCCCTTGTGTCTGGGATTGGAGGCTCTCGCCTCTTTATCTAAT